TCTCACACAGTGGCCAACCAGTTCCTCTGGAGGGCCAACAACAGGACATAGAAGTCGAGGCCTTCATAAGAACATCAGAAGAGCCCTGCTGGATCAGACCAGTGGTCCATCTAGTCCAGTATCCTCTCTCACACAGTGGCCAACCAGTTCCTCTGGAGGGCCAACAACAGGACATAGAAGTCGAGGCCTTCATAAGAACATCAGAAGAGCCCTGCTGGATCAGACCAGTGGTCCATCTAGTCCAGTATCCTCTCTCACACAGTGGCCAACCAGTTCCTCTGGAGGGCCAACAACAGGGCATAGAGGTCGAGGCCTTCATAAGAACATCAGAAGAGCCCTGCTGGATCAGACCAGTGGTCCATCTAGTCCAGTATCCTCTCTCACACAGTGGCCAACCAGTTCCTCTGGAGGGCCAACAACAGGGCATAGAGGTCGAGGCCTTCATAAGAACATCAGAAGAGCCCTGCTGGATCAGACCAGTGGTCCATCTAGTCCAGCATCCTCTCTCACACAGTGGCCAACCAGTTCCTCTGGAGGGCCAACAACAGGACATAGAGGTGAAGAATTTTCTCATCTGGCATACCCCCCAGTAACAGTTATTGGCCCCCCTCCTTGGTTTTGGTGTTCTGGGTTTATGTGTTCATATGCTTTTGTTTGAATTATTTTAAATATTATTTTAAATGCTGTTTTAATGTTCAGATACGTCAATGTTTTCATGTTTACTATCTTGGGCACCCTATTTGGGTGGGAAAGTGGCATAAAATGTTTTAAATAAAAAAATAAAAGGAATAAATAGTATAAGTATCGTGTATGAGTGGTCTAATTGACGCCTATCAGCCATGACAATTAAAAGGAACATTAATCTTCAGAGGCAATCTCCAGTTAAAAGGATCGGGGAGGCCCTGACCTGGCCAGCCCCGGCAAGCCTGATCTCATCAGATCTCGAAAGCTAAGCAGGGCCGACCCTGGCAAGTACTTGGAAGGGCGTCCTCCAAGGAATACCAGGGCCGGGACGCAGAGGCAGGCCAATCAAGCCACCTCTCTGAAACATGAAAGACCTCTGCCTGAGGCTCTGAAAAGCTGCTGCCAGTCTGAGTACACAATACTGATGTTAACATAAGAACATAAGAGACGCCAATGTTGGATCAGCCCAAAGGCCCATCCAGTCCAACACTCTGTGTCACACAGTGGCCAGAAATACCAGTGCCATCAGGAGGTCCAGCAGTGGGGCCAGGACATTAGAAGCCCTCCCACTGTTGACCCCCCCCCAAGCACCAAGAAGACAGAGCATCACTTGCCCCAGAGCCCCTAGCTATACCTTGTGGCTAATAGCCACTGATGGACCTCTGCTCCATATGCTTATCTAATTCCCTTTTGAAGCCGTCCATGCTTGTAGCCGCCACCACTTCCTGTGGCAGTGAATTCCATGTGTTAATCACTCTTTGGGTGAAGAAGTACTTCCTTTTATCCGTTCTAACCCGACCGCTCAGCAATTTCATGGAGTGCCCACGAGTTCTTGTATTGTGAGAAAGGGAGAAAAGTCCTTCTTTCTCGACCTGCCCTATCTCATGCATAATCTTATAAACCTCGATCATGTCACCCCTCAGTCGTCTTTTTTATTGAAGGGCCAATGGTCAGATCCCATATAAGGCAGCTTCATCTGCCCATGGGAACATCTATACTTGTACAATCTCCTTGCTAAATTTTTCTACTCAAAGCAACTCCCCAACTTCTGTGCTTCATTTGCCCCGTTTCTTCCCAGCACCAGTTATGGCGACCGGTCATTCTCTGAGGAGCAGCAAAATAAAGTAAAATAAAAAATCACTTGTGGAAATTTCCTGAGGAAAAAGTGTTATTGGGATCCAGTTATGTGATGTTCAGCACACGGTCTCCACTTTTGGCAGAAGCTCCAGAGAACAGGAGAAAGAAACCCAAATTCATATGGTGAAAGGAACATCCCCTTTCACCTCGCTTTGTAAAAAATGAAGCAACCTTGTGCTTTTTCACACACAACACCGTTTCCTGTTTCATTCATACAAGTGTTCCAGGGGGTGTGCACTGTGGTTCTAATACCACTGTGGTTTTTAATACACGGGATAACTGACTGCCTGTTGATCCTGAGGGACAGACTATATGATGTGGTGGCCTGCCATTTTGTAGGAGTCAGTTCCCACTGGGGAACTCCCTTTTAACAGCATCCCAGTGCCTTGATTCTGGTTGAGGACCACCACAGTGCCTCAGGAGGAGGGGCTCCTACTCCCCTCCACCATTTTCCTGGCCCAAAATGGTGCTGGGGTGAATGGACAAATAAGGCCCCATGGTACTATTTCAGGTCAGAAAAGACGCATGAGGGAAGGTAGGAGCACCTCCTTCCCCAACTACAATTGAGGCCCTCAGTGCTGTTAAAAATATCATTTTATCCTCACAGCAGTACTGTGAAGTATGTTAGAACTAGTGAAGAAAGTCAGAGAGTGATAGCATCTGGGTTTGGGCCACTGTGTGACATGAGGGTTGGGCTGGATGGGCATTTGGCCTGATCCAAGATGGCTTCTTTATGTCCTTAGAGAGTAAGTAGCCCAAGGTCATCCAGAAAATTACTCGAGAGGTTGTGATTTGAATGCCGATCGCTCAGATCCTAGTCTGACACTTCACCTAATACACCACGCTGCAGATAATGTGGAGGGGAGGTGCTGTAGCTCGGTGGTAGAGCATCTGCTTCGAATACATAAAACTCCATGTTCAATGCCCAGTATCTCCAGTTGAAAGGACCAGGTAGCAAGTGATGTGAAAGACCTATGCCTGAAATCCTGGAGAGCTGCTGCCAGTCTGAGTAGACAATATTGACTCTGATGGATTGATAGTCTGATACGTTATAAGGCTGCTGTGCGTGTGTAGATAACATGGTGTGTGAGCGGGGCTGTTAACGTGAGTCTCTCTCACCCAATCAGCACCCCCTATTTCTGATCAGGTGGGAAGGATCACCAGGATGGGGCCATGGCTCAGTGGTAGAGCAACGTTTTTGCATGTGGAAGTTCCCAAGTTCAGCTCCCAGCATCTCCAGTTAAAAGGATCAGGCAGTGGGTGATGTAAAAGATCTCTCTGGAAAGTCTCTGTTAGTCAGAGTAGGCAATACTGACTTTGATAGGTCAATGGCCTGACTCAGTGTAAGGTAGCTACAATTGTATTGGCTATCTCCCAGGAAAAAGGGTCCAACACATGGAATGCATGTGCAAAGGGAGTCCAAACCTCAGGAGTACATACAGCAATTTCTATACATTCTAAATGACTACTGTTGTAACATCAACTAGGCCTGAATCTTGCCATGCTTACATGTGTTCCAGAAATCTCTTTTTCATCCCTCTCCCTTGTAGTCTAAAAAATGGTGCCCCTGATCTGAGGGGAAATCTTGGCTCAGAGGGAGGTTAATATTTCCAGCAACTAGAACAGGGAAGCATCACTCAATGTATCATCTCTGTACTTCAACTTACTCTGCCGACTGTCATGGAGATGTGCCTACATAAATTACTGTTTTGATCTGCCCTCCTTTCTGCACTGCTTCTGACCTATAAATGTTAAATATTATTCATTACATACTTCTTCCTCCATTTTCATTTGTATTATTCCAAGGAATGACTGGCTAAAACAGGAGATGGGGAACTGAGACACCGAGGAAGAACCACAAGAACTACATTTAGCTTCACACACTGGACAATTTATTACATTTGTCTTCCCATTGAACTCAGAGCTGCATTTTAACCTTTCAGCAACCCGGAGGCCAAGAGATGCTCTCAAAGTCCCTTCATGAACTTCATCATTCAGAAGAGAATCAAAGCTGAGTTCCTCAGATCAAAACAGGCCTGTAACTGGGAATTTTTCAATATTGGGGGGGCACAAGAGGTCTTCTAGAGTCTGAATACAGATACGCCAACAAAGATTGAGATATACGTGTATTAAATATTATTTTATTTATAACATTTTTGAAAGGAACTTGTCGATTATTCCGGTGTCATTCAGTGGTCACAACGCTGGAAGGCAGGAAAAGTCTTTGTTAGTGAAGAATTGGGTAGAATGCTGCCTTTATTCTTTCTGTTATTGCTGGCATTAAAAAATAAATAAAGGTAAGCTTAAGTTTTACGTGAAGTGATCCCTCAGAAGGGTAGTCCACCCCCCATGTGGCTATGGTCATAGATATGGTGCTGGAAAGTGCTCTCAAGTCGCAGGTGACTTATGGCAACCCTATTGGGTTTTCAAGGCAAGAGACAGAGGTGGTTTCCTGTTGCCTGCCTTAGCGTAGCCACCCTGGGCTCGCTTGGTGGTCTCCCGTACAGCACAGGTTTTTCTCCTGTTGCCCAGGGCACAAGAGAGAAACAAGAAAATGAAAACAGCCCTGCTTGGTTAGACCAGTGATCCATCAGTTTCATCCAGTAGCCAACCAGTTGCCCTGGAAGACCAACAGACACACGAGGCTCACACTGACTTCTCACTTCCTAGAAGCGGAATTGATTAAACCAGAACATAAAGGCTTTTTTTCATGCTTCCGTGTCATTATGGTTTTTTTTGGCCATTCACTGTTTAAGAAAAGCAGAGACTGTAGGAAAGATTGTTTTGACTGGCTTGTGAGGAACAAAGCCTCCTGTGCCTCCTCTTCAAGGGCATCGTCGATTTGCTTATGGGTTTCAGCCCGCCTGTCCCATTTCAGTGCTGAGGTAAGGTAGACACTTCCTTGCATTGTTTTCGTCCGCACAAGCACGGGCCTCTGCTTGCTAGCTGGTGACCCGTAACCATCGGTGCTACCAGGATCTGAGATCTGAAGAAAATGGCTTTTAATATAGGTGGCTTAGTTGGTCTCATTGTATTTTATCTAATAACACTGGCGACTGGCCTTTGGGCCTCCCGGAAAAGCAAAAAGGAGACGAGAGAGAATCCCAGTGAAGTGGCCATCGTGGGCAACAGAAACATGAACTTTTGGGTTGGATTGTTCACTGCAACTGGTAAGTGTTAGTCTTTCCTAAAGAGTACAGGTGTACAGGGAAGTCCTCCTGGAGTAAGGATGCCGATGTTCACTAGGGGCTTGCAGATCTCATGGAATTACAACTCGATCTCCAGATGACAGAGACCAGTTCCCCAGGAGAAAATGGCTGTTTTGGAGGTGGTGGGATTCGTGCTGTTATACCCCACTGAGGTCCCTACCCTTCCCAAACTCCACCTTCCCCAGATTTCCAGGAATTTCTTAAGCTGGGTCTGGCAACACTAAATGATCAAAAGGTTTTAGGGTTGCCAGGTCTGGGTTGGAAAATGCCTGGAGACTTTGGGGGTGGATCCGGGAGAGGGTGGGATTTGGGGAGGGGAGGGGACTCAGCATGGTACAGTGCCAGAGAGTCCACTCTTCAAAGCAGCTATTTTCGTCAGGGGAGCTGATCTCTGTCAGCTCGGGATCAGTTGTAAAAGTGGGAGATCTCCAGGCCCCACCTGGAGACTGGCAAACCAACAAGTTTTGAAACATCTTCCCTATGAGGAATGTCTGGATTGTGAATAGCATCTTGACATGGAGAGCCAGCATGGTATAGTGGTTAAGATTGGTGGACTCTAATCTGGAGAGCCAGGTTTGATTCACCACTCCTCCATATGAAGCCTGCTGGGTGACCTTGGGCCAGTCACAGTCCTCTCAGGACTCTCTCAGTCCCACCTGCCTCACAAGGTTCCTGTGCTGGGGAGAGGAACCTGGAAGAGTGATTATAAGCTGCTTTGAGACTCCTTATGGTAGAGAAAAGTGGGGTATAAAAACCTACTCTTCTTCTACTACTACTCTTCTTCATGGTGGCAGTGAGGGGTGGGACACGGAGCATTCTAGAGGTTTGTGACATGAACAGGATGGAAAGGGGGAAATGTCACATTTCTGAGTTCTTTCTCATTCCTAAACATGGAACTACCTTATACTGAATCAGACCCTTCGTCCATCAAAGTCCGTATTGTCTTCTCAGACTGGCAGCGGCTCTCCAGGATCTCAAGTGAAGGTCTTTCACATCACCTACTGCCAGATGTTTTAACTGGAGACACTGGGGACTGAACCTGGGACCTTCTGCATGCCAAGCAGATGCTCTACCACTGACCAACAGCCCCTCTTTACTAGACTTAGGGAACATCTAATTAAGCTGATCAATAGTAGCTTCTGTCAAAATTAAATACTAATTATTATTATTATTGACCAAAGAGATGGTCCGTAGCCCACCTCCCTCCCCTTCTTCATGTGATCTACATATGGGGGGTGGGATATGCATCAAATAATGGCATAGAGAACTAGATGCCCCCCTTCGTTATTACTGCCCTGATCTACTTCAGTTTCTCGTTTCTCCCCCCTCCATGCCTGCTTTTTCCATTTTAGGGAAAAAAATATGACTAAGGGGGGAGATGATAGAGGTCTATATAATTACACACAGAGTGGAGAAAGTGGATCCCTCTTTCTCCCTCTCCCAGAGTGTTAGAAACTTGGGGGAGTCCAATGAAGTTGATGGTAAAGACAAAAGGAAATACTTTGTTATGCAACAAGTCATTAGATTGTGGATGTCACAGCCAGTGGATGTAGTGATGGCCATGAGAACTCTTGGCTTTAAAAGGGAGTTAGACAAGACCAGTTTGGTGTAGTGGTTAAGTGCACGGACTCTAATCTGGGAGAGCTGGGTTTGATTCCCCACTCTTCCACTTGCACCTGGCTGGATGACCTTAGGCAAGCCGTAGTTCTGATAAGAGCTGTTCTTGAAAAAAGAGCAGTTTCTGTCAAGAGCTCTCTCAGCCCCACCTACCTCACATGGTGTCTGTTGTGGGCAGGAGAAGGTCTTTGTAAGCCACTCTGAGACTCCCTTAGGTAGTGAAGGGCAGGGTATAAATCCAATCTCTTCTCTTCTTCTCTTCTAATGGAGGAGAGGTCCATCAATGGCTATCAGCCCTGGTGACTAAAAGGAACATCCACATTCAGAGGCAGTAAATCTCTGACTATCAGTGCCAGGAGTCAACATCAGAGGAGGAGGAGGAGGAGGAGGAGGAGGAGGAGGAGGAGAAGTTGGATTTATATCCCACCCTTCACTACCTGAAGGAGTCTCAGAGTGGTTTAGAATCTCCTTTCCCTTCCCCTCCCCACAACAGACACCCTATGAGGTAGGCGGGGCTGAGAGAGCTCTTTCAAGAATTGCTCTTGATCTGTGACTGACCCAAGGTCACGCCAGCAGCTGTATGCGGAGGAGTGGGGAATCAAACCCGGTTCTCCCAGATTAAGGTCCACACTCCTAACCACTACACCAAACTGGCTCATCCCACAGAGGAAGGCCTGGGCCTCTATGCCCTGTTTGTTGTCTCTCCAGGGCGACTAACTGGCTATTGGATGAAACAGAACGCTGGACTCACTGCTCTGATCCATCTGGGCTCTTCTTATGTTCTGTTAAGCTATGGGAAAAAATGGGAGTTCCCATGAGAGATTTTTACCACCTCATCTAATTAGGCCCACATAACTTTATTTATTTAGATATTTATACATCTCTCAGATGGGGTTCCAAAGCGGCTTATAACATTATTATTCCCTCTTCTATTCCATCTTCACAACAGCAAGACTGTGAGGTAGGCTAGGCTGAAAGACAGTGACTGGTCCAAGGTCACTCAACAAGCTCCCAGGACAGAGTAAGAATCCAAACTCTACACCATTTGAAATCCATTGGAGGTGATAGGCGTAAACCAGCATAACTCTGCTTCGAATCGCATCAAAAGAATGCAAAAAATAAAATAAAATCACACAATGAGCATAAATAATCATACCTTTTCACAGAATAAAAGATAATAATATGAAATTATCAAAACGTGCAAGAAAATAGTAAATAGCACGACAACCAATGTCAGGTCTGTAACACTCTGGGTTCTTATGACTCTGGAAACTGCAACAGAAGTATCAGACTCTGGACACGATCCAGCCAAAGCAAAGCACAGGGGGAAAGGTAAGCATAAAGTTAAAAGAACAACTGGATTGTGTTCTGTTTTTGTTGCTGTTTACTGATAATATAACACACAATCGCACCAAAGTTAAGCACATTACGTACTTCTTATTGCTTCCCATGTGAAAAAAAAGCACCCAGCTCTTGCCTGTTAATATTTCACTCTCCTATTTCTACCACTTTCTTTTAGCGACGTGGGTAGGAGGAGCTTATGTCAATGGAACAGCTGAAATTGTCTACCTTCCCTCCAGAGGACTAGTGTGGGTTCAAGCACCAGCAGGGTTCGCTTTGGCCCTTCTTATTGGTAAAGGTCATTTTTAAAAAGTCTGAATGTTTAATAACTTTTTTGCTAAAAATATGATGGGTTGCCCCCTGCCAGTGGAATTCAAAAAAGTTTGAATGACAATTAAATGTATATTTTGTCAGAAAATGTAACATTTTTAAAAGTCTTGAACATTCCAAGTGACGTGTCATGATAGATTCAGGTGGGTGGCCTCAAGTCATGATAGAGAATCACACATACTTCTCTTCTGTTTTGTTCTGCCTACCCATGATGGGTGCCCGATGATAAACCCTGTGAAGCTCTAAACAGCTTGCAGTAAGTTCTAAACCAGTGGAATGATAGAATCATAGAGCTGGAAGTGACCTCCAGAGTAATCTAGTCCAACCCCCTGCACAGTGCAGGAAATTCACAAATACCTCCCCCCACACCCCCAGCGACCCCTGCTCCATGCCCAGAAGATGGCAAAAATCCTTCAGGGCCGCTGGCCAAACTGGTCTGGAGAAAAATTACAAAGTGGTGATTAGGATTTCCCTGGAGGCCTGTTCCATTGAGGAACTGCTCTGTCAGGAAGTTCTTCCTCATGTTTAGCCAAAAGCTCTTCTGATTTAATTTCAACCCGTTGGTTCTGGTCTGACCTTCTGGGGCAACAGAAAACAACTCCACACCATCCTCTATATGACAGTCCTTCAAGTACTTGAAGATGGTTATCATATCACCTCTCAGTGGTCTCCTCTCCAGGCTAAACATATCCAGCTCCTTCAACCTTTCCTCATAGGACTTGGTCTCCAGACCCCTCATCATCTTCGTTGCCCTCCTCTGGACACGTTCCAGCTTGTCTATATCCTTCTTAAATTGTGGTGCCCAAAACTGAACATAATACCTTAGGTGAGGTCTAACCAGAGCAGAAAAAAAACCCAATCCAATATAATTGTGGACATTTCTAGGGTATCTAGAAGAGTCTACAGGTATTCAGTGCAGATAAAGAAGATGTGGGGACAGACAAAAAAAACCCTGCCCAGGACAAATCTATACTTATATCTGACAAAGGAAGCGCTGACTCACAAAGGCTGATAATCCCCGAAATCTTGGTCTCTGCTACTGGACTCGAACCTAGCCAACATGGCTACCCACCTGAAACTACCTGTACAGTCTGACACGGTCCAGTCTATTCTGCCCCCCTTCCCCCTCACTCTCTTGCAGGTATGAACAAGCACCACCACCCCTGCCCATCTTCAAGCATCAGACCAAGATACAGCTGTTATGATTTTTCTTTGATTTGTTTCAGAGGTTGCTGTTTTATTGGGTTGTTGCTTTGTCATCCATTATACTTGTTTTTACCTTTTGATTGTCCACTCATTTGTATTATATCATGGATCACCATGCTGACATGGAAAGGGAGCTTGGAAAAAACTTCCATGAAATAGTCAAGGTAAAGGTAAAGGTTCCCTTGCTCGAAAGCCAGTCGAATCCGACTCTAGGGTTGCGGTGCTCATCTCCGTTTCAAAGCCGAAGAGCCAGCGAGTGTTGTCCAAAGACATTTCCGTGGTCATGTGGCCGGCATGACTAAACACCAAGGCGCACGGAACGCTGTTACCTTCCCACCGAAGTGGTACCTATTTATCTACTTGCAATTTCTTGCTTTCGAACTGCTAGGTTGGCGGGAGCTGGAACTAGAGACGGGAGCTCACTCCGTCATGCGGCACACTTGGGTCACGAACTGCTGAACTACCGGCCTTCCACAGCCTGCAGTTCAGCATCTTAACCACTTGAGCCACCGCAGCTCCCATGAAATAAGTAAAAAACCCAAAAAAACTTCCATGAAAACTTCCATGAAATAGTATCATAGGGCAGCCATGTTGACCTGCAGTGGAATTTGGGTCCAGTAACACCTCTGAGACCAACAAGAGTTTGGGGAGATTTTGAATGTCGAAACTCCCTTTGTCAACTGTGCCCGACAAAAGCAGCTTTGACTGTCAAACTAGGGACACCAGCCTCCAGGTGGGGCCAGGGGATCCGCTAGAATTACGGCCCATCTCCCGATGACAGAGATCAGCCCCCCTGGAGAAAATGGCACCTTTGGACAGAAAATATTTCCTTTGTAAGTCTTATTGACTATCTTGATTTGTAGGTCAGACTCTCACAACTCTTTTCTCAGTATTTGTTTCTAGACACGGTCGTGACTGTCCACATTTGCCTTGCAACTTTGAAAGGTGGACTCTATGGCCTTGTACCCCACTGAGGTCCCTGTCCTCCTCAGGCTCCATCCCCAAATCTTCAGGAGTTTCCCGATCTGGATCTGGCAACCTTACAGCCCCCCATCCCCCCCACCAGTGGGAGGGGGGGACCTGGCAACCCCGAAAGCTTATCAACCATATCTGACAAAGGGACCCTCGACTCTCCGAAGCTCATACCCTGAAACTCTTATTGGTCTCTAAGGTGCTATTGGACTCACATCTATCGATTAAACAGCAGTAATACCTTGCTGATAGGTATATTTTGTTCTGGTCTCAGGCTTCCTGCTCTACTGAGCTTCTTGAGAGCCAGGATTTACCCTGCCGATTATCTCTTGACAGTGTTTGCTACAAGCAAGATCTGGAACTAGCAGCACCCTTATGAACTGCCTGATCCATAGAGGTGCCAGGTCCTCTCATTGCTTCAGCAGGGGGATTTGGGGGACATTTCAGGGGTGGGCGGGGCCCCTCCCCTCCTGCAAAGATTTAAAGGGCTTCAGCTGAACAGCGGGGAGCATGTGGCCTGTCGATCAGCTGGAGGATCGCATTCTTCTCACAAAATCTTGTGGGGCTGGCCCTTTAAGGAAGGAGGCAGAGTCCCCAATAGCCCCACTGTAGCTACGGGCCAGCTTCCAGGTCAGAGCCACTGAGCTGGTCAGAGGAGATCATGACACATTTGCTTATCACCACCACCAGGGGGTTGGATCCACCAGACCATTTGCACAGGTGAAGGAATTCTGCCCACAAAGCACATCTTTCTCATTTCCTCCCTCCTGCTTCAACCCCAGATGCCCCCCCCCCCTTATGCTGTTTCCAAAGTGAAAATACTAAACAGAGCAAACAAATTAAGGTACACAGTGTGGAAGAATTACACTAACAAGGAAATCAACAGTGATCGGGGCGGTAAGGTAAATAACGCCGTGCTGCAAAAACCAGAAAATATATGCTTTCTTAAATAAGTAATCAATAATGTGTACAGTCTTCTTTACAGTATATGTTGCCAAGATACAGCATAAAGAATTGAAACGAAGCAAAAGGATGTTAACGACGTGCTCCGGAATGTCTCGTGTCGTTTCGCCGTTCCTTCTTCCGAACAAAATTGTGTGATTTGTCTCCAGTTCTTGTCTTATCTACAGAGATAGACATAAAGCCTGACGCTGACACACCTCTTCTTCATTGATCAAAACACAATTCCATTTGACTGTATTTTGCCCGAAATGAATTCTCTACTCGCAATTGCGTTTTGATCAATGAAGAAGGAGTGTGTAAGTTTCCAGGGTGAAAACAGAAATCCGAAAGGCATTTTGGGCTAAAGCAGAAGGGAGGAAACCAGAAAAAATATGCACGGTGAGCACAAATCCATGGAAATGCTCTGGTGGATCCAAGCCTGTACACGTAACAAAAAGAGGCTTGTTCATGAGAGTTGTCAGCCAGTCATGTTTGCATCTACTGGGAATGCTATTGCGCCATATCCATGTGAAATATGCCATGTGAAACAGTCTGCTTTTAGAGTCTATATGCATATAAGGTAAAGGTAAAGGTTTCCCTTGCTCGAAAGCCAGTCGAATCCGACTCTAGGGTTGCGGTGCTCATCTCCGTTTCAAAGCCGAAGAGCCAGCGCTGTCCGAAGACGTTTCCGTGGTCATGTGGCCGGCATGACTAAACACCAAGGCGCACGGAACACTGTTACCTTCCCACCGAAGTGGTACCTATTTATCTACTTGCAATTTCTTGCTTTCGAACTGCTAGGTTGGCAGGAGCTGGAACTAGAGACGGGAGCTCACTCCATCATGCGGCACCCAGGTCTCGAACTGCTGAACGACTGACCTTCCACAGCCTGCAGTTCAGCGTCTTAAACTGTTTAGCAATATTTCTGAGGCCTTGCCAAAGCTGAAATCTGCAGTGTTGTTGGATGCAGAAGACGGGTTGGAAACCACTATCCTTCCTGCCCGCGGGCACCCAGTCACTCCTGAACTAGCTATCAACTTGGTGGCATATAGGAACATGGATGGCACATTAATGGTTGTGAAATAGCTCATTTCACAAAAGAGAATGCATGCAAAAAAAAATATGATATGATTGCTTTTTAACAGGTGGGCTCTTCTTTGTCAATCCAATGAGATCCAAGAATTATTTGACAATGATGGACCCGATCCAAGAAGCTTATGGGAACATGATGGGAAGTCTCTTGTTTATTCCACCCTTAATAGCGGACGTGTTCTGGTTTGCAGCTGTTCTCGCATCCTTAGGTATCTATATATCTCTTGTCTTGTGGGATGAACTGGGGAGAGCCAAGCCATGGTTGATGTAGGTGATTTGTGATCAGACTTCCAAACATGACGGAAATTTGTCCATCCCCCCGCCCCAGTGTTAATAGCAGCTAGGGGGTATTTAGATCAGGGAAATGACATAGGGGAAAAGGGTTAAAGCTCTATGCCCTCCTCCCAGAGCTACTGCTGTGATCATTGTCAGAACCCTCTATTCCTGTTAGGGTTGCCAGGTCCAGGTTGGGAAATAGCTGGAGATTTTGGGGGTGGAGCCTGAGGAGGGTGACGTTTGGGGAGTGCAGCAACTTCAATGGGGTACAGTGCCATAGACTCCACCTTTCAAATTGGCCATTTTCTCCAGGTGAAATGTTGCCTGGAGATCAGTGGTAATCCCAGGAGATGACCAGACATAACCTGGAGGTTGGCACCCTAGTGCCTGTATCTACTCCCTCCAGTACCATAGGCGATATGTCTCTTTGTAACAGTTGCTGGGGAGCATGGGCAAGAGGATGCTGTTGCAAGCGTCCTGCTCGTGGGCTTCCTAGGGGTCGTCGGCTGGCCACTATATGAACAGAATGCTGGACTTGAAGGACCTTGGCTCTGATTCAGCATGGCTCTTTTTATGATCCTATATTCTTATCCCAGTGTGCTCTCCAGTGCCCAGCCTGTTTATTTAAGGGAATAAAAAGACTTCACAGAGTCCGTTGTATACGGAGTCATTTCTTTTTTTAACTTTCAAAAGGAAACTGGAGAGTGAACTCATTGAGTTCGTAGACTCTCAAGCTTGTGTTTGGTTAGCACTATTCAGTAAATCAGGAGACCTGATCGTGGATCTCCTATGTCTTGTCTGGTTTGGACCTAACCACAGCCAACACTACAATCATCTTAGTAGGCCCTGCTTCATGTGCCCCCACCTTCTGAGGTTAGGTAGGTGGCAACCCAGGAGAGGGCCTTCTTGGTCGGGGCTCTGAAGCTCTGGAACTCTTGTTCTTACACTGTGGAATTTGCTGCCAGAGGATGTCGTGATGGCCACAGGAATGAACAGCTTTAAAGGGATTAGATTAATGAAAGATAAGTCTGTCAACGGCTATTAGCCATGGTGACTGAGGGGAACCTCCACATTTAGAGGCACTAATCCTCTGAATCCCAGAGCCAAGAGGCAGCATCAGGGGAAGGCCTTGGCCTCTATGCCCTGTTGTTGGTCCTCTAGAGGAACTGGTTGGCCTGGACTAGATATACCACCGGTCTGATCCAGCAGGGCTCTTCTTATGCTCTTATGAACTCTCTCCCCAGGGAGCTTCATCTGTTCCCTTTTGTTGCCGTCTTCTGCCAGAGGGTGAAAACATTTTTGTTCCATTCCGCATTCCCTCAGTGATCCCACCTTCCTGACCAATGTTTTTAAATTGCTGTTTATATGTCTTTGTATGTACTTTACATTTGTTTTTAATATGTTTCAATTATGTGCATTTGGGAAGGTGGTTGATTTCAGCGGCTTTAAATGTGATTTCATCACGTATGTTTTAAAAGGTTTGCTGCCTTGGTGGTGCTTGTGAGGGCAGAAAGGTGGGACATAAATTTCGTAAAAAATAACAACTACATGAAGTCATCCACAAGTGGTGGAGTCCAGCATATTGTTTAACAGGTCATTTATTGATCACAGTGATAACTGTTACCATTATCACTTGGGAATGTTTGAGGAGCTGTCCTGTCCCATGAGCTCCCAGAGGCCAACTCAGAAGGATCATCCAAGAAAGAGGAGGTAAGTGGAGTCACCAGTCCCTTACAAATGAATAAGGATGCCCTGAAGACCCCAGTACCAGCTGAGGCCCAGAGAACTCATCATCCCCTGGGGAGGAGGAGGAGGAGGAGGAGGAGATTGGATTTATACCCTGCCCTTCACTACCCAAAGGAGTCTCAGAGTGGCTTACAAACTCCTTTCCCTTCCCCTCCCCACAACAGACACCCTGTGAGGTAGGTGGGGCTGAGAAGAGCTCTCCGAGAACTGCCCCTGAGAGAACAGCTCCAAAAGAATTGTGACTGACCCAAGGTCACGGCAGCAGCTGCATGTGAAGGAGTGGGGAATCAAACCCGATTCTCCCAAATTAGAGTCTGCACTCCTAACCACTACACCAGACTGAGGAGGTCTTTGAGAAAACAGCCGGAGAGGATCACTGTGTTCAGTCTTGAAAGCCATCGGCATGCCTACTGGCCAATACTCTGGCTTGGTTTTTCCCTGCTTATCCCAATTAGGTTACAAAGGTCCTGGTGACTCCAGCTGCTCTTCAGGGGGTGGCCTTTCTGACAAGCTCTGGGATGTCGTGGGACATGGCATCTCTACAAACATTCATAGCTCTTAATTATAACAGGTATCACTGAGATTGATAAGTAACCTCTTCACCGGTAGGCCAATCTCTACTATCTGCAGATGGTTTCATGTTGTCTCTATTTGGGGTCAAAGCAGGCAGGGTATGGGAGATCCTGGATCAACTCTCCTGACAGGACCCCAGGAGCACTGATGTTCCTGAAACACACCGTAGAAGGAACTCACTTGTTTCAGAGCAAGGGGCTTTACTTCATTGATCGCTTCTTCTACGGAAAAAGCCTTACCTGTCTGACCAGGACTGGTCTTGCTAGTGCTCCAGGAAAGAGTCAAGATGAAAGGCCAATGATGAAAGCCTTTCGGTTCTTAACCAGTGTTTCCCTCTAAGATGAGTTAGTGTGAGCGAGCTCACTGCTTGTTAGCCTCCAGCTCACACCTTTTTGTCTTAACTCAGGAAGAATGGCTCCAGAGCAAACCAATTTATGCAGCAGACAAATTGCTCGCTCACAACTTTAATGCCAGTAGCTCACAAAGTAGAATTTTTGCTCACAAGACTCCACAGCTTAGAGGGAACATCTTTTGAACCAGCTCCATAAAATCTTGGCTGGACAGCCCCCCCCCCATTTCTGGGCCTTGCCCCTGACCATGGACAGCTCTCGTGCCCTCTAAACTCCACAGTGTTGTGAGCATAAATTCTACCTTGTGAGAGAAAAATGGTAGTAGTGTTAAAGTCGTGAGCGAGTCTACATTTGACAGTTGCATAAATTAGTTTTTTTAGATTATTTCCGTAACCTTGTAAAAATTTCAGAATCAATTCTTTCAAACTATATTTACACTATATTTTAAGAATCGTTTAAGTATTATGAGAGAAAACAGAACCAAGTCAAATTTCATTAAAGAAAATGTTGTCCTCTATGCAGGTAGAGAACAGGTCTACACTCCCCTTTCCACTATATTCGTAGACCTGGCCTCAGACTGTCATCCTGCACTGAGCCTTAGAAAACATACCAGCACTTAGAGGGGGAAAACTCTTGCAGTCTGCTTTGGGGTTGTTGTTTTTTTAGTGAAATATGACAAATTACAGGTGAAGTATAACAGAGGTGGAACAATCACTGTCAGAACCCTGAGTAACCTAAAAAGCAGGAAGTTGCTTAAATGTTATCAATCTGCCCAAAGGACGTCTTTATTTAAATATTTTTATCCCACTTTTCCTGTGACTCAAGGCAACTTACAGATCATACTGAAAAGCATAACGGGCTCCATTATAGCCTATGTGGACTATTATAGTCAATGGGCCCCATAGGCTATAATGGAAAATCGATCTGAGGGTATCTGGGGCTCTGGGGGGGCTCAACCCCCCAAAGTTTTAAAAAGATTGGACCAGGGGTCCAATTCTGTGGGCCCCCAAAGAAGGAAAAAAACCCCAAGTTTCAAAAAGATTGGACCAGGGGGTCCAATTCTATGGGCCCCAGAAGGAAGTGCTCCCATCCTCCATTTTTTCCAATGGAGGGGGAAATGCCTTACTGTGAGCAGAAGCCTAAAATCCCTGCGCTGGGATCTAAAATTTTGTGCACCAGCACCCCCTAGTGCATCTTAGAAGGAACACAGCTCTTGACTCACCAGAGAGCAAAATCCCAAACCTCGCAGCACTAAAGATCACGACAAAACCTCATCTCTGGTCTAGCTGATTCCCAGTTCCACAACCTGCAATACAAGTGGGAGAATCGAGAATTGAAATGCTCTGTTTCAAATGATTGAGCTGGCCCTAGATCATGCTGAAAACCAATGTGTTCGTTGGTTTAGTTAGAAAACGTGTCAGAAAACCTGCATAGCATGAAATTTGCTCAACATTGTCCTTTCCCATAGGAGCGACCATGAAAGTCATTTTGGATATCCAAGGGTATTTAGCCATCATTATATCTGCATGCACGGTCATTCTCTACACTTTGCTGGGAGGTCTGTACTCTGTTGCATATACTGATGTCATACAGCTGGTCTTTATCATGGCTAGCTTGGTAAGTCCTGATATTTTCATGTTTGTACTTACTTGAAGGGAGGGAAGGCAGCATGGTGAAGCCCAATCTCATCAGATCTTGTAAGCTAAGCAGGGTGGCTACTTGGATGAGAAACCGCCAAAGAAGGCTGGGGTTGCCATAAATTGGCTGCAACTTAATGGTGCTTCACACACACACACGCTTACTTGAAACATGAGTAAAAATGAATAGGAGTCCTCTGGCACCTTAAAGTCTAACACAATTTTATTTCAACCTAAGCTTTGTTGGATCCTCTTCTTCAGATAACTTGATCTTCACAATGGAGACATTTGATACAGGAGGCCATGAAAGGAGGACATAAAGGATAAGATGCAGTTATGTCAAATTTAATCAAGAGAAATATAGAGATAATTCAATCATCCCATATACGCCTCGAAGAGCATTACGCAATGAGAGTCAACATCTCCCGGTGATCCCTGGCCCAAAGGACGTCCGCCTAGCCTCAACGGGGGCCAGGGCCTTTTCTGCCCTGGCCCCCACCTGCTGGAACATGCTCCCTATTGAGATCAGGGCCCTGCGGGATCTTATTAAATCCCGCAGGGCCTGCAAGATGGAGCTCTTCCACCAGGCCTTTGGCTGAGGCAGCGGGCACCCCAAGGTTGCTGTCTCCCATCCATTGATAACTAGCCATACCTATCTACATCAATGGGCTGGTTTCTCCCTATGGCAAGCTGTAATGTGTTTTAAAATTTATTGTATTTATTGAAATGATGTAACCTGCCCTGAGCCCGTTTACGGGATGGGCACAATATAAATGTGAAAAACAAATAAATGAATAGTTATGCTATGTTAGTTAGCACCTACAATGAATGAGAAATCCCAAGTATTGCTAAACCAGTTAATGGTTATACAGGTTAACCATAAACAGAGTTACTCCCTTCTAAGCCCATTCATTTCAGTGGATTTAGAATGGTATAGCTCTTTTTAGGACTGCATTAATAAGGAGTAAGAAAACCTAAGTCCCTGTTCAGCCCTGGGTGGGAGATAGTGGCAGACTTCTGAATGAATCCCAGTTAGGGTTACAAATAATCTGGAGGGGGAAAACTGTCTTGCCCCTTTAACAGAAGCTTCATGTGTGGAATTGGGCACTTTAAGCTTTTCAAGGCATGGTGGAAGTAAATAACATCACCTGGTAAATAACATCTCATTAAGCTCCTGTTGAAGGGGTAGGGCATTTTTTCCCCTCCTAGTTGTGTGCAACCCAAATTTCAGTTCAGGAATTTCAAGCTGGAAGTCTCTCTTTGAAGTTCTTTAGTTGGGACCTTCTACATGGAACATATTCTCTGCAATGAAGTTATGGTCCTTCCCATTCATAGTTCTTCTCTTTTGTATAAATCTATGCACTGACAAACTGGACTCCAACTTATCTAGCTTCAGCTCAGTTGCTGTGCCATGTAGCTTGAGACCATGCCCTTGGCCTATGCCTTATGGCTCCCAGCTGATGCTTCTAACATTAGTTTCAGATACAATTCAGTAATGATGCTACGTCTTGGAGCTATGACCAGGAAAAGAAGCGGAGCCCACAGTTGCATGCTGAACAACCATAACATTCCACTGATAAACATTTGGGTACCATTCATATCAATGCTGAAGGATGGAAGGTTACGGAGGCCAGAAAATGGAGCTGAGGATTGTGAAGGGAAAACCAATGAAATAATTCTGATGTTTGTGTTTTCCTGCAAGTGGATTTGTATCCCGTTTGCGATGACAAACTTTGCAACAGAAAGCATTTCATATACCGTTGCCCACAATGTATTTCAAGCACCTTGGGTCGGAAAGATAGAAACACAGGATATTGGAAGGTGGCTGGATGACTTCTTATATTTGGTAAGGAATATTTGTTCCAGTGAATAGTTTGCAAATTGGGGCTCATTACCTAGGGTTGCTAACTCCAGGTTGGGAAATTCCTGGAGATTCGGGGTACGGAATGGGGAGGGGAGGGCCCTATTGCCGTAGAGTCCCCTCTCCAAAGCAGCCATTTTCTACAGGGGGACTGATCTCCGTAGTCTGGAGATCAGTTGCAGTTCCATCTCCAGCCCCCACCTTGAATTTGGCAGCCCTCTCATTTCCTCACTTTCTTGTAGCCAACCCATAGAAACTGTTGCACCAGATACAGGACTGGCTCTTCAAGGAGGTGGCCTGAGGTAATCCCTTCAGGCAGCAAGTTTGGGAGGTCAGTAATCCTCTTGTCCTACCAATTCCCCTCTTGCCACCTGACCGCTAGCGCGTTGCCCGCGATCCAGAAGAGAAAATCTTCCATACTCACCCCATCCCCAACTCTTCAGCAACATACTCTTGCCACCCAACAGCAGAAACCATTAGCATGTTAGGCCACACCCCTGACAGCACAGCTCATTAGCACATTAGGCCACACCCCACATGTTACCAGAAGTGTTTTCATCCAGCCACACCCACCTTTTGCTTCTTATTCTGTTTACCTTGTTTGTTGTCAAAACCCAGGGCCTTTTTTTGTAGCAGGAACTCCTTTGCATGTTAGGCCACACACCCCTAATGTAGCCAATCCTAATGAGTTTCTGCGGTTGGGTGTGGCCTATTATGCTAATGAGTTCCTGCTGGGCGTGGCCAACTCAGGCGCCAGCCGGAACTCCGCTCCTGTGCGTTCCTGCCCAAAAATAGCCCTGCTCTTGACAATTCCCAAAACTGCATGAGACTCCTTCTTATTGTGAGGGTTCAGCCACCATTTGTGGTCTTCTTGTTCCAGGGTGAGCTCATGCAAGAGAAAGTAGTCTTGTGAGAGTTCTGGAATATTTCTCTGCAAAACAGGCACCCCTCTTTCTTCCTGGAAAGACATCCCCCCCCCCAAAAAAGGGTGCCCCTCTTCCTTCCTTCCAAGTCTGACAGAAGCATGGGGTGATTGGTAAGCTTAGCCTTCATATGAAACCTCCATGTCTGCTGTTTCTATTTTTTTTAAAATGCTTGGAAGAATTGATTATGTATTTCCCAAGACTTCATCCGTCTCAGTCCCACACTACTTTTCTTTCAGGTTCTGGGGGCCATTCCATGGCAAACCTACTTCCAGCGAATCCTCTCGGCTTCTTCTACAAAACAAGCCAGGCTCATTTCTTACTTTTCCGGGATGGGGTGCTTTATGCTGGCCATCCCCTCTGTGCTCATTGGAGCAGTGGCTGCATCCACAGGTAGACCTAAGAGTGCTTGGGGAAGGGAGGGGGCTTAGGGCACATCCACTCTCCAACCCGAGTGTGAAACTTGAAGTGTTGGAAGTGCAAGCACTCCTGAACATCTATGCCCCCAATAGTGCATTACGCTTGGGTACTAAAAATCTCCTGGTGGTCCCTGACACGAGAGAGATCCAGCTGTCCTTGACCAAGACCTCAGTCCTGGACCTTAGTCTTTTAAAACCAAATTACAGTGGTGCCTAGCCCCAAGTTGTTGTTATGTGCTGACCAGGGCTCTTTTGGTAGAAAAAGCCCAGCAGGAACGCATTAGCATAATAGGCCACACCCAACAGCAGAAACTCATTAGCATATTAGGCCACGCCCTGACAGCACAGCTCATTGGCATATTAAGCCACACCCCCATGCCTTCCCTTAGCTTGCCCGGGTGCCCTGTGGCTGCGGAGGGCCCAGGCAAGCCCCCCCTTGAAGTTTAAACTGCCTTTCCTTGGCTTGCCCAGGCTCCCTGCTCCTGACCCTTCCAGGGCCCCTCCTGGCCTGCCCGCCTTGGAGTCGCCGGGGGGGGGGGTCGCTCTCCAGGCCTTCCCTCTGTAGCCACGCATGCAGAGGTTTTGGCTGTAGTGGGCGTGGCCAACTCTGAAGCCAGCCGGAACTCCGTTCCTGTGCGTTCCTGCCCAAAAATAGCCCTGGTGCTGACCCAGATTAGATAGACAGAGAAAGGGGGGGTTAACACTCATCCCTGCATGGTTGAAACTGCCCCCCTAGATTGCCCTTTGAAGGGAAAAAACAACAAGTACTGATCATTTGTTTACTTTTGTTCTCTAAAGGGCTATAAAGGCACACGATTTCAATTCTCAAAACCATATAGGAGCAGGGGTCATTTTGTAGAAAAAGAGGTGCAGGAGCTCATTAGCATAACTCATTCACATAACTCATTTGCATATGCCACACCCACTGACATCACCGGAAGTGTGTCAGAAGGCAACACCCACCGCTCAGGCTCCACTGGACTGTTTTGGATTGCTAGCTACTGAGGGGGGGGGACGTGCAGATCTGTCCTTGCAGAGGAGGGAGAGCTTGTACCTGAATAAAACTTGGTCTTAAAGGTGCCACTGGACTGTTTTGGATAGGGGGCCCTGGGGGGGGGCTCTGCAGCTTACCTGG